TTTACTCAAATATGCAAAGTGATTTACCGGTCACATTATTTATTTGATGATGCACTTCAGTAAACCGCGAGAGTAAAACGGTCGGGCCGCAGGCCCGATCATCGCCGCCGGCAGGCACAGCAGGCCCGGCCCCTGCCGAACGAAGTTGCCGGTGCAGCGAAGTGGAGCTTGCAACTCCGTTTGGCGGAAGGGTGGGCCTGCTTGTTAGTGTTGCACCAGGTAATGTTAGTGGTTTCGAGTATCTACATGGTATGAAACCCTTTTAAAACCATATCACATAGTTGTGAAGGTCCGCTTAATCTAAATGGCCCGTAGTCTGAGAATCACCCGCCAGAGTTGCTGTTGCAGTTGCTGTTAAGATGCCGTTATTGCCCATAGGCTTTGGCGTTTACAGTGGGTCTGGAGTTTATGGATATTTCTGTTAGTTACTATTTGGGTTGTAATTGCTTTGGATCTTGATTCATTTTTATGGATAATTAGGGTAGGGTTTGCTTGCGTTAATGCATCGAATGGCAGAATCCCAGTTTGTTAATAATTTTTTTTTTTTGATGTGATCATATCTACCTCAAGGATATTTCTTAAGGCACCATTTTAAAGGAGCCTTATTTTGTTGACAAGTGTTTGTTAGCATTTACCCATATTAATGCGTGAAACTTTTTGTAGACCCCCTCCCCTTATATTTTATTATTTTTAAAAACATTTTTCAGAATATTTATTTTTTAGGTAATAAAATATTAAAACAAGCAGGCCCACCCGTCCGCCAAACGGAGTTGCCAGATCCGCCTCACTCCGCCGGCAACTCCGTTCGGCAGGGGCCGGGCCTGCTTGGCTGGCCGGCGGCGATGGTCGGGCCTGCGGCCCGACCATTTCTGTCACGCGATTTGCTGAAGAGCATAATCAAATGATGTAACGGGCCTTCGGCCCGCAAAAACCAGCGGCCTTAAAATTTGCCCCGTAGACAAGAGAAAGGGATGTAACGGTTAAGCACAGCGACTAGAACCTACCCTTCCGCTTATAAAATTTTTTCTCCAATTTATTGGTCACTGCAGCAATTTTTAGTTTATTTTCTTTAAAAAAGAACCTCCAGCGCCTGAACGGTTAGGGATAGAGCCAAATAGACAATTTTCTACAGTGACGAGTTACCCCTTAGAAGAACACTAAAAAACAAATCTTGTTAACCATAAATGGACCCTTAGTTAAGAAAATTTTCTGTTTGATAGTTTCGAGCAATATTTTTTGAATAGCTATAGAAGTTTGCGCCGCGTCATAGCGCCCTCTCACTTGTACAATCTGCTTTTGGACGCCATGTAGGCATTTCATGCCTGCTCGCTGCATTTTTCTTGATCTTGATGTGTCTTTTTGCGTGATATTTTTTTGAATTAGCCTCTTAATAATTACTTTTATAATTGTACACATTTTTTGGCATAGCGCTGGGCAGCGCGCGCGGGGGGCTGACTACTCAGATAGCAAGTTGTCCATTGTTGCTCTGGTACCCAGGCGTGTGTGTGGAGCTGCTCAATAGGGTAAGTCGTATATCGCTTATTTTCGATTCTTGGGTTGTAATAGTGTTTTCCAGGCGCCATTTGGGATGAAAACTCCTGGAAACATGTTTTAAGTTTTTTCCTTTAACGTTTTCATAACCCTACCTTGCCTGTTATTCTGGCCTGCCATAAGAGGTGGTTTTGAAACCTTCAATTTTGGGCGTATTTTTTCTTGTCTAAACACGCAATTTTACGGTTCTCTGGGAGAAAATTTTAAGGAGAAGGCTCTATCTCTGCCGGTTTGCATGATATGAATTGTTTTTTAATTGTTGTAAATAAGCAACCTTTTCCCTTCCAATAATAATTCGTAGCTCGAAAACCGGCTGAGATAGAGCGATGTCGCCGCCAAGTTGTCGAATCTTTGTCATCAGGCGACATCGAGGCGACAGTGCTATTTGTGCCAAACCTCATATCCGTAAAACATCGCCGGCGATATCGCGGCGAAAAATAAAAATCGCCGGCGATTGCCGCGCGATAAACCCTGGATATGTTTGTGCTACCTGGGAGTAATACTCACTTTGACTCAGTACAGTACCCTAAATCTACTGCGGGATGCTGTACAGTTACTGAATCACGCTTAGTTTCTCCAATCAGTTGGCGTCAGTCGCAGTTCAGCTTCTGCTCTGACTGCCTTTGGATGGAGGTCAGCTGAGTGGACCTCAGTAGCCAGGACTCAGCAAACAGCAGTTCGATTCAGTACAGATGATCACTGCCGTTACCTGATCGTGGACTGAACCGCTATCAGCTCCCCGAATCAGGTGTTAGTCGGTTCTACTCAGTAACAAAAATGTACTGCGGAAAGCTGTACCGTTGCTGAGTCACGCTGAGTTTCTGAATTCCGCCAGCGTCAGATCCGCTCAGTACTACATCAGTTACCCGATGAGTCACTATCAGTTACCTCAGGAGATGGTCAGCGCGACGCAGCTGACGTTCTGTCATATTTCACTTACTAGTTCAGTTACTCTGTTTGGTAATTGTTTACTTTAGTGACTCCTCGCCCTGACAGCTTTGTCAGTATTTCTACACGACAACAAATAAATGTGTATATTCTCTCACGTTATCGGAATTTGAACAGTTTTTTGACTTTTTGTGAGTTAGGACGGTTATCCTCACATCGTCTGCATCTTTAACGTTAACATTCAACATATAGTATGGCGTTGTCGCTTAGTAACATTTAGCTCGCGCTGATGATATACAACGGCCTCTCAGCTAGGGTGCTGACCCGTCACCCTCGAGTTGTGCCTGTCTTTTCGTAGGAAACGGAGCAACAGGCACAGCAATTTTTATCTATTGGTAACTGTTATATTCGACAGTGTCACTAACCACTCAAGTATATAAGCAGTTAAATCCCCGGAACTTGTTAGAACGATTCGAAACTTTCACAAACTCATGTTGTTACTTTTCACAACACGTGTTATGAAATTTCATAACATAAATGTTATAACATTTCATAACATTTTTGTTATTAAATTTAATAACAATGTTAGTGTTAATGCTTCACAAAGATGTTATTAAATTTAAAAGAAAAATTTTTAACAGTCAGGTCATTTCGGCTGAGTGCTGGCCAGTTCCCCGATTCGTTGAGGGTATTAAGGATTAGTATGTAGGTAAGAATGTTGCATTAGTTTGTTTATCCCCTTAACGTTGGTGACAAACGGTTAGTATGTGAGTTATGAGCTTTGGAATTCTGTGCTAACCCTCCAAACATAGTATGTGCTTAAGACTGTCCAATTAGAGCATGGTAATATTATGGTAACATACTGACAGCTAGAATGCTCTTTTCTGGGTGTACCTTGGGAACGGTTGCAGTAGACCCAAGCAGACCCCTAAGAGTAACAATGTGTTAAAAGAAGACCCAGGCCCCAGCCGCCCTAACCCTGGAAAACCGTACACATGCGTGCTTTAAATATCGTGTTGAGCAATTGAATTCTTAAATTGCTAGAGTGTTAAAAGGAAGTTTAATTTAATGGTGTTTATTGGCTTGTTAAACCGCAATCAGCGGTTGACGTGGTATTTGATGCTTTCAAGAACGTACGTATACAATGCGGGAGGAAGAACTTTAGCATACTTGTTAATTTTAACCGTGATATCATTGAACATTTTTTGCTCGTAGTCAAGACAGACTTGTCTCATGTTGAGTTCGTTGAAGACCTGCACCACGTTTTGTACCTTCGCGCTGTCACTGTAGCCGTAGTTATTCTGAAAGGTAAGAACAAAGTACTTTACTGCACTCACAAAATGTTTTCTTGCCCCAATCCCAAAAATATTGTTGACGCAATTTTACTTGGGACAAGAATAATTTTCTCGAGTGAAGACGATTTTTCTCGTTCGAAGAAACATGGTTTTCTTCCCACAAGAAGAAAATATTCTTAAAACATTCTGCTTAGCCCAAAAAAAATAATATGCTTGTGCTAGGCCGGGCGTGCGTGGGTGTAGGGGGGAAGGACGGATAAGGGTGGAGCGGGCGAGAGGACCGGGCTACCTGAGGTACAAATGGCGCGCTGGGGACACGGTCACGCATGTGGCTTCATAGCTCAAACGGTTTCTGCTTACGCTTTAGCGTTGAGTTGACACGAGCAGGGTTCGAATTCCGGCAGTGCCAATAGAACGCGTGAGTTGCATTAAGGAGAATCGAACCAGCTGTAACTACCGTCATAACCCACTGTGAGATAGAGTTCAAGACTGTCTCCGGGGGCACTATTTCACTTATTACAGCCAAGACTAAATATTCTTGGGATAAGAAAATAATTATTGAAGTAAGATTTTTATGGAGGATTGACACAAGAAAAGAACATTCTTGGGCCAACAGTACGAATTCTTGTAGGAGTGACAAGAATAAAATATTCTTGGCTCAAGTAGATTTCGGTTACGGCAAGAAAACATTTTTGTAAGAGCATTAATGTCGCAATTGGGACGTCACAGCGGGGGAGTGGGGGGGCCGCTTTTGTGACAGTGCATGACATGGGGGTGGGGGTGGGGGGAAGAGGGTCAAAAAGTGGCCTAAATCGCGTGATATGTGGACGACCCCTTAACCAAAATCCAGTATCTTTCCGAAAATTCGGGGATTACCGTACAATTATTATAATATCTGTTTTCACTGCAAATCTCAGCCCAAGAGGAAATTGATTTTTCTACTGTTCCACTAAGCATCGCATTGCCTTAGGTACGGCTTATTGTCTTCCCTTTACATAAAATCTATTTTATTTTTAGATGACTTTGTTCTCTTACCTTTGAAAATCGGTATTTTTGGGAAACCGACTTGTTTTTGAATATCGGTTAACTTAACCATACCGGTAAACTATACCGTACCGGTTAAATACCGTAAACTGATATTTCGGTGAAAAACAGGTAAATTTCCTCACCGAAAACCGGTGACTAAAAACCGAACGGCACGAAAAAGTTATATACAGTGTGCAGGGCAAGAACGCGTCTTAAGTATTTCCTTTAAGACGGACAACTTTCAAAAAATGATGATATTTCCACTTTTCTCTTGAAAAAGCTTCTAAACGACCAACTATGTGATAGGTTCAAACTGCGCTGCCGAATTCTTGCAGATATTTTGGTTACGTAAACCAAGTTGCGGTAGAGGTCGAGTTTAACCTTCCCACATAGAAGCTCATTTGAAAGCTCTTTTCACGAGGAAACTGAAAATTTCATCTACTTTCCAAAGTGATCCATCTGAAAGGAAATAGTGGAAACGTGTGCATGCTATGCACGCTGTTTCTTATGTGTGCAATGCACGCTGTTTCTTATGTGTGCAATGCACACTGCATACTGTACAGTGTGCAATGCACACTGCATACTGTACAGTGTGCAATGCACACTGTTGAGTTTGCAGTGATGCTCCTTACTTTGGAATTTGGACTGGATCATTTTATCCTCACCTTCAGAACTTTTAGTTGGGCTTTAGTTGCCCTTTTTTTCGCTTCAACTATGAGCCAGGTGCACTTGCCATTCTGTATGTCAGTTCTCTGTTTACCCATATCTTCTATAACCCCATAAACATCCAAGTAGTCGTCCTGAAAGTGCAAACACAGCGGTTAAATCATCGGTCACGACTTTTTTTACTTGATTTACCTATTCGGCTTCTTCGATTTTCCGATCTTACCTGAATTTGATAGACGTAACCCAAATCGAATCCTAGGTCAAGGGCGGCCTCGTATGCTGCTGGGTCACTCACGCCACACTGGAAAGAACTAAGTTTATGAATTGGCTCGACGAACTTTCCTTTTCGTCGCACGAAAGTAAGATAATGTCTCTGATACATGTGCAACCCCCACAAAATGTGTTTCTTCATAAGGATCTGAGCTAAAACGGGAGCTTGGAAAACTTGGAAAGCTCTTGTTTTCTGTCAGTACGACCTTATTTATTATTTTTTAGTCCGCCCTTTTTGCTCAAAAGCTTGGCAGGATTAAGATGGATTCAGAGTTCACAAGATGCGAGCGTGATTTTCACGCCGCTAGCGTGAAAAGAGTTGGTTTGGTTAGCAGTTGACGTTATGCGACAGCCAATAACAGGCTGCCGTGGGGCTATGCCATTATTTTCAGCTGAATCAGCTTTGGAGCTAGCGTGATTTTTCACGCTTCCGGCGTGATTTTCACGCTAGCGTCTGCTAGCAGCGTGATTTTCACGCAGGCGTCTGCTACCAGCGTGATTTTCACGCAAGTTCGCAAGTGCACATTCTCGAATATCTCCCAAGTGCCCCTTCGAACTTGCGTGAAAATCACACTGCTAGCAGACGCTTGCGTGAAAATTGCGCTAGCTCCGAAGCTGATTCAGCTGAAAATAATGGCATAGCCCCACGTCGGCCTGTTATTGGCTGTTGCATAAAGTCAACTGCTAACCAAAACAGCTCTTTTCACGCTAGCGGCGTGAAAATCACGATCGCATCTTGTGAACTCTGAATCCACCTTTATGCCATCGCCCCTGTGTCTGTCCGTATGTCTGTCAGTCCGTTTTTGAAGAAGGACGTGAGCAAGGGGTCTAAATTTTTCAGGTATTATTGATGTCACTGCTGAACAACAAACCAGTTCGTGCACATTCTGACAACCTCAAGAAGGAGTGCAGAAAGTACAAAAAAACAAAAAAAAAAAAAAAAAGGGGTAACTCGCAAAAGTAGAACCCTTTGGGTCAAATTTTTTCCCGTTTGACTTTACCTTCTCTCACCGTTTAGTTGCTAGAAGGTGTTTATCCAAAAGTTAGAGGCCTAAAACGAAAGTAGAACTTGTGGGCTAAATTTTGGCCGTTCGGCTCTATCACTCACTTTTTAGGCGATAAAGGGAGTCTCTCTAATATAAATAACAACCCATACGATATGTTTGTTCTAAGTCTTTGATATGGCTTCCTGGGGAGTAATTTATTAAACCGCCAGACCCCGTTTTGAGTTACAGGCTTGCGATATCTCACGAAACACTGTTACGCTGCGACGCGTCTGGCATACATCTACCTAGACCTGCGGCGCTGAGACCCGATTCAGAAAAATGTCAAAGTACCCTGTGTCCGTTTGGCTCTAACTTTAACCGTTTAGGCGCCAGAGGGCGATTTCGACACGGAAATGACCCCACAGCATTTAAATGTTTTCTGGGTACTGGGTGCTACAATACCGAACGTCACATGGCCAGATTCAGTTTTTAACGTAGATTACGAATTTCATAATTATATTTCCCTGTGGTGGCTTTCTGACTCTTCGGGGTCGATTTTCGATTTTCCACCCAAAAGCAGCCCATAAGAAACCCATGTTAAAATGCAAAGACGTTGAGCGAGTGGTTCCCGGGGTCCGATCGGGACGAACGGGGCGGATTTAGAATGCCCAGAGCATGGGTCATCTCGATCTTTATGAACTAACCACCAGTCTGATATTTTTTTTTTTTTGCCGTGGGCCACCCTACGGAAAGGCCAAGCGAGGCCCGCTTCCTGGTGAACCAAGTTGCTGGTTGAGCGAAGCGTAGCTAGCAACTTGGTTTGGCGGAAGAGCGGGCCTCGGTTGTTTATAATTACAATTGCACCCTTGAGCATCACTCACGTAATTCATTAAGCAGACAGAGTACTCACTGCAAGCATGGCTGTTGCGGTTGGGGTGTAGTAGGTGTACTGACCCGTTTTGAACTTGGTGAGCGCTTTGAAGCGCTCTAAACTGAACTCGTGAAAACCCCTTCCGTCCGTACTCTCACTGTGCAGGTCATTGTTTTCACCAAAAGCCATCTGGAACACTGTCTGGAATACAGAAATTACAATTCCTGGTCATGGAAAAGAGCTGTTAGCCAGTACACTAGACGCCAGTCCGGAATTCCGGGTAGCCCTATATTCAGTGCGAAGGAAGCGGGCCTGTCCGGAAACGATGTTGTTTAAGTCGATTTTAATAGTTGGCATCTTGACATAAAAGTCACGTGACACCGTGGTTTTCTTGGTCCTATCGGGTTCACACCAAAATTCTAGGGAGATTTTTCTGCCTGAAATAAGGAGGAATCCGTGCATCTGCAATTTGTGCACGATTTTGTGTCTAAGGACATAGTTTTTCTGCCCTCTTGTGTAGAACCGTGATACACGAATACAATCATACATAGTCGCCTATGCACGGATTCATTCAGAGTATGTACTCTTGTAGTCAAGTGTATTTGGGCGTATTCACAAAAATACCCGCACCATTTGTACACGATCACAGGTTACTTCGTATTCAATGTACTCCTCCATATTCACTACGTACTCATGCGTACTACGGTGTAGAGAGAAATATCAATAGACCGTTCCGACAGTGCGCTTTTTGAGAAGAAATGAAGAAGTCGGGACCGGAACCAGTACCTAAAGGACGCTTATTTTTGTCATTGGAAAGTGTAGTTCGACGTGAATGACCTCGATTAAATCTCTAGTAACTGTCAATTTTCGTTTTCACTGACTTAAGCTATTTTTTAGCCCGCCCTTCTGCTTTTAAAAAAGCATCAAAGCGGGCTTATGCAACCGCTCTCGTGTCCGTCCGTCCGTCCGTCCGATCGCCGCCGGCAGGCCAAGCAGGCCCGGCCCCTGCCGAACGGAGTTGCCGGCGCAGCGAAGTGGAGCTGGCAACTCCGTTTGGCGGAAGGGCGGGCCTGCTTGTTTAAGAACTGTTTCCGGTGGTGATTTCATTAATTCTTCTTTAAACGGGCACTGCCGAAACCATCTATTGACTTCACCCTATTTTGCGAGCCACTTACCCCCGAGATCCCTGACGCGAGTGTACGCAATCTCTTATTTATAAAAGTAGAACGACTTCTTTCTGAGAAGTGCTTAGCTTTTGCAGGCTCGTACCCTAAGAAGGAGATCTAGTACGCCATCGAAGACTTCCGCACTGAGGTGCCGGTGCGCCAGGTGGTACACGCAGTGCTCCACGAGCAGGCCGTCGAAAACTGCAGCTGGCCCAACGACGGTGTGCCAGCAAGGTTTCCCGCGTCGCATAGGCGCTCGGTCGGCGATGTCATCCATTACCAGGAACATTGCCTGCATCTAGGGTCATAGGGACGTAAGATCCGCGCTCCTTTGTTTGCCCGTATGAACAAACCATTACCGAAACCCTCTTACAATTTCGACGCTCCATGCGAGGCACTTGGCGTGGAACAGGTACTCTTCATCCTGAGCGGCCCCCGCTGGTGCCAAGTGTCGCATAGCGTTATAAGTGGCCAGCGCCCTGACCAGCTTGCCTCCAGGCACGGTGTACGATAACAACTGAAAAAACAAAAACAATGACTGGTTACAACGGGAAATGGCATGCAGAGCAGGCAAGGAAAGTGAGAAGGCTGTCGTACCTTGCCAAGCCATTCTGTCTCGCTTTGAATTTTACAAGATTTAGTTGCCTCTTGAATTTCTTCTATTACCTGAGGTAGGACGGCAGTAAGGTCTTTTTTATCCTGCTCCTGCTGAAGGTACAAAGGACTCTTCGCCAGCCTGCAGAACGTATTAATGACATGTCGACCGAGTGTTTGAGATGTAACAAGGGAGAAATCACTTGCGTTCGTCGTACGGGCTATTGTGTGGTGTTTCGAATTATTTCGGGGTGTTTCGCAGTATTTTACCAACTATTTTGCTCTATTTCGCCTTTATTTCGGACTATTTCCGGGGAGGGTGTACGAAATAATTTGCAAGTGATTTCTCTCCCGTACTGTAACTGAATCAAGTTTTATGACTGTTCACGGAAAAAAAAAGATTTTCTGAGTCAGCTAATGTATTGACTGGTATATGGACAGACAAGCACATAAACTTCTGTAACCACTATATTGTCTACTCTTATCAATCATTAGCTGTGCCAGTCAAAGATAAGTTGTATGAAATAATGATTTGCCTGTATCAGTTAGGTAGACCTCGACTGATTTAGGGAAGGGATAAGCTGTTACAGCTAATTTTTGACTGGCACAGCCAATGATTGGTTAGAGGAGAAAATGTAGTGGTCACAGTAGTGTATGTGCTAGTCTGTCCATATACCGGTCAATGTATTAGCTGACTCAGCGAATCTTTTTTTTTTTTCGTGTTGAAAAATAACTTGAGACTAACTCAGATTTACTCTTTTAGACTTGGACGTCCGAACGAGGATCTCTTATTATTAAGTCTAAACTGCCACACATGTATAGAATGTTCTTTTGCTTCGAACCAAATTTTCACCATTATTTTTAAACAGAGATGAAGGCGTGTACACTTGACAAATAGACTAGTTTAACACTAGCATAGTGAAGAAAAGGTTGAAGAACAACAGACCATTCAGACCATTAATAGTTCTTTTTCATCATATAAAGTGCCCCAAACACTTCAATATAATAAAGGTCGTACAAATTTGGTGTTGTTTACATTTTATGTAGCTTTCACATACGTTTAAGGGTTAGTAAAAGCAACTGTTTCCAGCCTGTTGTTCTGCATCTTGTCGTTCACTTCGCTAATGTTGAGTTGAAAGGGTCTATACGATTACCCTATTTGTCGCTGCCAGTAACTAGCCGAGCGATAGCGATGCCTCCTATTCCGATCCGTCAGATTTTTTTTCCGTCTGACTCATACATGACTCTGTAACCCGATTTCCGACATGATGTTTCAATTAATCCCGGGGCCGCAAGCAAAGAAAACTAAAGCGGAATCAAGAACAGAGGATCAAACAGTTGGATGTGAGCTGTCGGGGTATGACACATACGTGATTCTCTGACCCTAATATTTTTTTAGTGAAGCAATTGTGTTTCGAGGGTTTCGAGTAACGTGACAGTCACATTCAACGATTTAATTAATGGTTCTATCCGAGGGGTCCCACACTCGCCAACTCGTTGTACACGAGGGAAAATACTCGCAAGATACTCGCGACAACTCGCGGAAAAATCACAAAAACTAACGAAAAAAACGACAAATACTCGCCGTTACTCGCATTAACTTGCGGATACTCGCTAATACTCTCAAATACTCGCAGATACCCAAGCAACTCGTTGTACACCCACTTGGAGAGTGGAGGACTCCTCGGTCCTCGGTTTCATCTTTTCTGATTCCATTTTACTTTCTACACTGTAAGAAATAATCACGGTGGCCCATACGGAAATATGCCGTTTATATAACCTGCGGCGTCTCCGTACGGTTTTGTACCCTCTTTCCATCAGAGCCCATGTAAAAAAATCGTGGGTAGGGCGTTAGGGTACAGAACGGTAAGAAAAAAGCTAGCCCATGTAAAAATTGTTGGTACGGTGGCCAGGTACGGTAAATCTTCGAACCGCTTTCGAAAATCACTCCCAAAAGTGACGTACGGATCGCCGTGACAGGCTCCGTATCCAAGACTGACTTTTTACAGTGCAGTTCCGACGGTCTCATACAACTGACCGCACTTACCGCACTTTAATGACCTGTACCATAGTAAACCTGCTGGGCTGATATTGTCTGCACCCAAATTTGCGCGCCGAAAGACCGTTCCCTTGTTACTTTCGCTCTAGGTGTTGCTTGGGCACGCAAAGTCGGCCGACCAGGTAAGAGTTAAAAGAAGAAGTCCACCGACCAAAGTTTTGCCTTTGCCCGAATCTCAACTAACAAGACAAGTCCATAGGTCTAACATTACGGTTTCTGTCAAACTTGCTTACGTGCTCAACGCGCGCCGGCCTGCGAGCCTCACGCACAACATGCTGACGAGGAGTGGGAGCTCTCACGTGGACCTCGGTCCGGCAGCGCACAGGATGCTGGACGTTGGGCTGAATGCTAATGCACTAAGCGTATGCGAATTGGTCGTGGAGTGTTTCTGAATACAAACCATTCTGGTAAAGCTGCAATGCAGAGGTGTGCAAGGGGCCAGAAAACAGAAAAGAGAGCGTCCCGTTTAGTTTGAAATACAAACGAATGCGGGAAGCTACTCTGTTAAAGCACGGTAATTACCGTTTTGCTGGTAACTGCACTCATCTGTTCCGCTTTACCAGAATGCTCTGTTATGACTTGTTCTCAGACCATATCTCCGACAGTTTTCAGATAAACGAAGCTCGGTCCAAGTCGCTGAAAGGTCAGGTGCTGTCTCCGTCGTGAGTCTGTGGACTATTAGACATTTTTATCTTAATTTTAATAACATTTTTGTGAAGTATTAACTAAATTTGTTATTAAATTTGATAACGAAAGTATTTCGAAAAGTTGTATCATTTATGTTATGAAACTTCAGAACATGTGTTGTGAAAAGTAAGAACAGGGGATTGTGAATGTTTCGAATCGTTCAGCAAGTTCTGGTGATTTTACTGCATATCTATTTCGACTGTAAGTGACACTTGTCAACTTGGATTAGCTCACAATGGATAAAAATTGCCGTCTGATGCTTAACACTAGGACTACCGGGATTTTCGTATACCTAGATCTACCAGAGGGGTCATTTTGACCCCTAGGTACTATTCCGCCGTTTTAGATGTGAAAAGACTGCGGTTTTGGGTACACAACTTCTTATTTTCGTTTTTTATGACACTTCATACAACTTTTGCACCCACGGGGGTCCCTGTGAAGGGGTAGGTAGGCAAACTGCAAAGCACAAAATGTAATTTTTCAGAAGTTTTACAGATTTTTTCGTAATTTTTCGTTTAGTTTCGGGAAAATTGCATAGGATTACCACAAAATACAATAATTCTCAACATTTTTGGCTGAGCGATTAGCGAAGCCTATTACTCCAGTGATGATCAAAAAGGTTTCGCGTCTGTCTGTCTGTACGCAAGATAACTCGGAAACGGTTTGAGCTAGAAGACTCTTATTTTTATTGTAACTTTGTATCATAAAAAGGAAGAACTGTATTGATTTTGACCCTTCTAGCTCAAAAAATGACGTGTCAAAAATTCAAAATCAAAAACCCCAAAAAATTTCTTTTAAAAAAAATATATTTTTATACATCTCTCGTAGAGGTACCTCGTCAAAGGAGAACCCACTGGGCCAAAATTTTGCCCGTTTGGCTCTATCTCTAACCGTTAGGGCGCCAGAGGGCGTTTTTCACACGGAAATGACCCCAAAACACTTGAATGTTTACTCTCTGATATTTGATGGTGTCCGGTGGGGTAACTAATCAAACTGAAACCCCGAGAAACAAAATTAGTGACTTTTTGGGCCGAAGGCCTATTTACGATTCTGCCCTTTGCTCGACTAAGGTGTCAGCGCCGCAGGCCTAGGTAGATGTATGCCAGGCACGTCGCAGCGTAGCAGTGTTTCGTGAGATATCGCGAAGCCTGTTACGCGAGACGTGGTCTGGCGTACATCTACCTAGTGGTATAGTCTGTGTTTATTTCAGTCTGACCGACAACCGTAAACACAGCGAATAGCCGGTTTGATGGTTTTAACGAGTGGTTTTCAACTTAAACCTTGCCATTGTTGTTCTGTGTGGAAAGTGTTGACTTCCGCTTGGTCGTGTGACAATTTTGAACCTTTATCAGCATAGGTAGGCAACCCGCACATTACAAAATCATGTCTTACATCTTATACACTAGCTATATGTACGCCAGACCACGTCTCGCGTAACAGGCTTCGCGATGTATCACGAAACACTGTTACGCTGCGACGCGCCTGGCGCACAT